TATATATATATATATATTTATTTATTTATTTATACAACCAAACATTTAACCTACAGTATAAAAATGTTGCATGGAGCCAAACAAGGAACTCAGAACTTGACGTGCACAGTTGTCATGCTGATGCTTGTGATGATTCACACTTGAACATGTAAAAAACCTAAAGAAGTGATACATTTTCAAAGTAGCCGAACTAATGCAAAAAGTATGACTAAAAATATTTCTCACCATTACATTACCAGGTGCAACTTCAGACACTTTAACCTTACACTTCAGTGCAATAATCTCACCTGGACGAAGAAAATGAAGTGCTTAAAGGAGGTGTTGAGGTGAGCCTCTTCTTGCAGCTGCATCACAGAGTCAAAATGTTGGTGGTAGATATGAGCATAAACCCTGAACAAACGCTTCAGGATGGTTTTGGCCACAGACATGAAATTCTTGGGAAAGGGAACTCCTACGGAGCAGAAGGTGGTGGAAAAATACTGATGTCAGAAGCAGGAAATGAACCATTATAACAACCTAACTGAATTTACATTTATTGAACACACACTTCTAAATATTTAAAAGTGCTGGGAGCAAGTTAGAAAATTTTCTAAAGCGTATTTTTATGAAAGCACACACAACGTTCTAAATCAAACAAAGAGGAAGAACAGCAAATTTAACAGCAAAACAATTCTCAAATCTCATTGTGTTTCTGAAACATGAAAGCTATTAACAATTCTCAGTAAATTTTCAAAGGTTAAAAGGTCAAATCAAGGAAACGGATTCATGTCTTAAGACATCAGAATTGCTTGAAGTGTATGTGACTGTGTCTGCTCTTCCTTTGTGTAACTCACTTCTACAAAGGTGAAACTGAAACAAAAAAATTATGAAAGTCCCAACTAAACCAAACTCACCAATCTTGGAGGGAAAAAGGGTTTCATCATCCAGCTGATCCTGCACCCAGGTCATCAAGTAGTCAATGTACTTAGGTGCAGAGCATTTGATTGGCTTTTTAATATTGGTGCCATCAGCCCAGTGATACTCATACCTACACAGAAACATATACATACAACATGAAACCATGATGTTTTTTCCCCTTTTAAGACAAAATAAAGTAGCAGATGAGTTTTAAAACAGAACAAACAGGAAATGTAAAATGTCATCTGTCTCATTCTTGATATCAGGAAGTAAACCCTCATCTCTTCCTCTTGATTAGAGTCTGAGCACAAACAGTCTTGGAAGGAGAGGGGAAAGAGGAAGTGCCAAATCTAGATTCTAACTAAACAGACTATGCAAACAGAGCACATGCAAAGTTTATTTCCTGTTTGTCCTCATATGACATTTACGTTTCAAGACTCGCTGTCTTAACCATTGTAAATAAACGTGTTGGTGTCCCGGACAAAATGTTGTACAGTTTCTAAAACCAGATCATTTCTCGACACTGTGAAAGTGACAAATTAGAGAAACGTAACACTTTATGAAGGCAATTTCAACGGTTGCAACACTGGTTACTTCTGGTTTAAAGAGTGAACTATTACAACCCTTAAAAGAGTCAGCTGATTCCCCTCTTCCTGTCTGGGAGCATCGTGACTTTCCCTCACTGAATTCAGCATGAAGTCAGTTGAACTGAGTTTTATTTAGATCATAATCTGGGATAATATGCAAATCGGAGCAACTAAGGATGTTTAATAAATCCTGATAACCAACACAGACTGCAAAGCTCCAGTTCAATTGTCTTTTCATGTCTCTAAATTAATGCTCAGCTTCACACTGGGTCTTTGGCATCAATTAAGGATGTACATATGCTAAAAACTATTACGTTTAAAAATAACTGAATATCTAATTTGATACACTGGGTGTAGGTAGTTAATGTGTCATGCTCTGAATACTGCAGGCCACAAAAAAATGCTACCGTTAACTTCAAAATTGTAATTATATCAGTAATAATTTCACATCCTATTTGCCAATGAAGAACAGTACACATTGTAGCTGACATCACACTTTATATTCAGTTTGCTGCTTAAAATCTTGATACAAATTAGGGAACAAAGACAGCTGGATAGGCAGATGGATTTGTTGCTAAATACAGCATTGATACTGATTCACTGTTAATCAACACTAAACTATGTTGAGGCACAGTTTTTGCATAATTAACTAGTGGACAAGAACAAGATCTATCAATGTCTTACTACATCTACGGCTCCTAAATTACTGGAGGAGCATTATTTCATTGTATTACAGGTCTGAACTGAGTGCTTCAAACAACATTGCACCACAGATTAATACGGCAGTTGATGACAAAACAAAAATCCCACAAAGGTATGAAATATCTTTAGGAAATGATTGTTTCAGATATAGCCAATCCCTCCGATGTTATGATGCAACCAGGTTCTACCATCTGAACACTTCTGTTGACAACAAGGCTTGTTATCTTTTTTAAACTCTTCACAGAAAGAAAATATTAAAATTGGAATTGATTTTTTTTTCTTCTTTTAAAATGTGACCAAGGCATATTCAAGATACTCTCATTCAAGGTGTACATAATTAAAAATCAGTAACATAATATATTTATGTTATATTACACCTGTGGATTTTTCAAAAGTTTTCCTAAAACTTTTATCTAAAAAAATTTATTAAAAAAAATTTATAAAAAGAGGCTGCATGAGTAAAAAAAAGAAAATGTTTATTACCTTGGTCCTGCAGACATCACTGAACAACTGGTCTCAGTGCAGAACTCAGTGATGGTGCCATACAGCATGTTGATCTGGTTGAAGAAATCCACCGCTAAAAGAAAGAAAAAAATACATTTGTGTTACACTATTGTAAATATGAACTATTACTTAAAAAAGGCTGCATAATGAATTGTTTTAGCCTCATCGATGTGTTTACTGATGACCAAGATCTGCTACATGTGTCCTCCTCTCTGCAATGAGTCTCCATCTGACCAGTTAAAGATTACCGGTACTACCTAGGTTACTCATTTCAGCCTCCCTCTCCTCACTAATCAAGGCGAATTAGCCTTGTATGTACAATTTGTTGAGATACTTAACTAATACAATATTTAAAAGTTCTGAAGAACTGTGTTAAAAATTGTAACCTTCTAATATTTAGTTAACATCAAGAGAACAACTTCTGCAACATTTATCACAGTTGGACTGACACTCTCACACTAACTACTGTGCTCATATTGTGCCACCACTCAACAGCTTTATTTCCCAAATATACTACAGAATATACATTCTATATATATTCTAATTTCATAAGAAAAATTAAAAAAATCTGTATCTGCTTGAGACCTGCCTCAAATTTGTTAAGACATTTTAACCTTTAAATAATAATTTCCAGCCTCAATCACTCCTTACTGGCTAATATTTGGCTGTTGAGTTAGAATTACTTACAATTTCTCTGCTGTACATTCATTCAACTCTATACTGCAAAGACAACCTTTTCTTTACATAGATCAAAGATTAATCTTAACATTGGTCTCTAGTCAGAGTTGTAAAAGGGTATTTGTTGACTAGGTGCGTGGGCTTATTGTATTTGTTCACTCACTGTTGACAGCAATCCATTCATTGAGATCCTCTCCCTCAGGCAGCATGACAGCCTGTCTCAGGTTCCCGCTGCCCAGTGTAGCCTCAGCATGTTTCAGCAGCTCGTACTGGTGGGATCCTTCTGGGATGTTTTTCTTCGGCTTGAAGGTCTTGGATGAGCGACTGCCACTGCAGAGAAATGAACACAACTGTGCATAAATAAAGGAGGATTGTGCCAGTGCAATGGAAGTTAAAACATAAATTAATCATATATAAAATGTCATGTTGTGCACCACATCATCTTCACATTTGATTTTTAAGGATGACGTGACAAGATAGGTATTAAGTCTGGATGTCAAAGATACTGTTCAGTTATTTTCCATGCATGTTAAACATGGCATTACAACACATGCATAGTTAGCTTAATGCTAAGTTACTTTGAAGCATTATTGTTTTTATTTTTAATTTGAATGTTCTTAAGGTGATTTTTTTTTTCCTTGAGCAAAGCACAGCATAATGAAAGGTACTGTACAGATTTTAAAGCCGCTTGGCACATGTATACAATTTTAACAAATAAAAAGAATGAATTCAAACATATAATAACCAATATCATGATGCATGCTCAATAATCCAGGTAGAAAAATCTAAAAAAAGTTAAGTCTGGTCCTCTGTACATTCAAAAAACAAAACAAACAAACAAAAAAAGGTAGAAACGTTTCTCTTTCATTCGAAAGACTTCTTCAGTCTGAGGTGCTGTATTCAGCTCAGTCTTATAAATAGCATCTTCTCGTAGTGGATCAACCAGTTTGCTGCAAACAGCCAAAACCAGTTGCTCACATGATCAAGAAGGACCATCAGCCTAACAATGGATCATTAGCACCCTGATGGCTGTTTACTATTCACAGGGGGCTGAGTGATACTAGCATTCACAGCATTGTAAGAGGGGGACAGTTGAACCCGGAGGCCTCTACCCCTGTTTAATGATGGACGATTTCTTTTCACAAAGATGGCCTCCTTTACTCCTCTCTCCAACCGTTGTTCCTCTCTATCCAGGATGTGAACATCTTCATCCCTGAAAGAGTGACCGCTGGCCTGGAGATGAGTGTAGACCACAGAGTCCTGGCCTGATGATGTTGATCTTCTGTGCTGGGCCATCCTTTTGGCCAGTGGCTGTTTAGTTTCCCCGATGTATGACTGATCACAGCCCTCCTGACACTGAACAGCATACACAACATTACTCTGTGCTGGGGGATAACCAGTAATTAAAAATGTAAAAAAACTGAACTACAAAATAGCTTCTTTTTTTTTCCCAAAAAAAACAACATAACATGAACTTTTATTGTTTTGTTGATTATTTGAAATCCACTATTCTTTGCTGCTTATGCAGCTTTCTCTGGGTTCTACTTGTGTTGTGCAATGTGCACATAGGAACATTCATTTCAGAGAAAACAGCAAACATACCGTAGGTTTCATCTGAGAGATACATTTTTAAAAACAACACGTGCTTTTTCTGAACTTGAATCTCCTTCCAGGCTCGATTGAGCAAGAAGCTGGAAGGTTAACACCTATAAACTTGATGTGTAACGCTGTCACAGCTATTTACGGCAAATTAAAACTTATACAGACATGCTGTGGCTCGTTTTCAGAATAAGACATCACTTTTGTGCCACAGCCGAGTTGTTGTTGGTGTAAATGACGGTAAATGTGATTGACTGTCATCACAGTGTGACTATAAACATGGAGATTAATCAGCTTGATCCGTGTTTGGAGAGCTCCAAAAGACAAAGATAATGTAGTTGTTGTAGTTGAAAACTACTGTTAACCAACCCGGCCGTAAGTTAGCTTTAACCACTAAGCTAACCAAGTTAGCATACACAATCGGTAATAAAAAATAAATAAAAAGTTATTTTACACTGAAGATTTAAACGAGAACAGCTCAAAAGCAACACAACTTCGACGGATGGCAATCCTATGCGTGAGAAAGATTAATTCAATTTTTAGCTACAAGTTTTGAGATGCGGTTGGTCGACTAGTTTTCTGTTCCGTGTCTCAGTTGAACTTCCTCGGGTGAACTTGATAGAAGCGCAGCTAACAGATTAACCGCAAGCTCCGCGACAGGAAGCAATGCTTCAACTTTACTTACAACAAGAAGCTCATCTTCACGAAGAAGTTGTTGAAAGGTGTAAACTGGAACTCCTGGTCCCGGTTCAATAAACAAAAAAATAGTTTTAGAAATGTTTATTTAACCAGCTTATTAGCGTCGAGTGCTCGACGTAAACTGCACCCACTGCGACTCTTCCTCTGTTGGCTGAGCAGCTGAACCTTCAGAATGTCGCCCCCTACAGGCTGTAGCTGGTATGACACGTTCAACAAATCAATACTGTTTACATTGTTTTCTATATTATGATCCATCCATCCATTATTTTTACCCGCGTCTTCCTTATATTATTTTATATTATTATTAATTATGTTACTTGTGTATTATTTTAGTGTTTGTAATATATATTACAAACACTAAAGTGTATATATGTATACTATCTGTATTACTTGAGTGTTCGCCAGCTGGTCTAAAACATTTGATTGTACATGATGATTGATTGTTTTGGATGGGTGTGTTTTGCACGTGTTAAAAGCCTAATTTTGATATTCCAACAGTACGGAGGACGGAATGTGACTAAATGAAATAAATAAATACATAATAATGAAATGTATCATTTAATTATTAAATGCATCATTAAATCATTAAATATACAATAAAATGATTAAATCCACAATTAAATTATTTATTTCATGATATATTTATTTATTTATTTATTCATTATTTAATGGTGTATTTAATAATTTAATTGTATACTTAATGATTTAATTATGTATTTTACAATTAAATTATACATTTAATTGTTATGTATGTATTATTCATTTATTTCATTTTGTCACAGTCCGTCCTCCATACAACAGAAGTTGGCTTGAAACGCAACAGTCAAGACAAGTCAAGTCAGATTTATGTGACGGCTACCTATGGGACAGAACTGGTTGGCAGGGCGTAGACTGAGGAAGTCCTCTGGATGGGATACAAAACATTTCTCACTTAAAGAGACTGGTCCAAATTACACAATGTAACCTTTTTTGTTGTTATCTACCTGGATGATTGAGCTTACAACCCTTTTAAAAAATATATTTAAGTAACGTAAAGAAACTCCATCAATTGGGCTGCAGTAACGCTTTAAAGCACACTTGTAGAAAAAAGGCCCCTGCCCTCCCAAGCGTATGTTGTTTATTGTGAAACTATCTAAAACTAATTGACCTTACAGATTAATTTCAAAAGATTTATAAATTTGCATTTCATTAACTTGTGTTTATACTGCAACTTGAATGATTAGATTGGTGTGAGCAGTGTAATTGGGATTAGATTTTTGCAAGGTTGGAGAAAACTTAACTTTATAACTAAATTCATCTAATTTAATTTTAATGTACAGTTTAGTTTAAAGTGTGTGCATATTTGTACATTTGAGTCTTCACATTCACACTGATAAATAATATATTGACTCGGGTACTTCTATTAGTCAAATAATTGATTTGTCATAATTGTTAGCTTTTATATAGACATAAGAACGTTGATAAAAAAATCTAGTTTAAAAATCAAATACTGCTTTTATGTACATTTGTCGCAACTAAAAATGTAACCATATGTAGTAATTTAACTAACTACAACATTTTGTTAGATTGAAAACTTTTAGTTCATTTATTCAGGCACTATTTAATCTCCGTCCATCCTCCAGCCATCCATCCATCCATACATCCATCCTTGTGAGTGATATTTTGTCTTGTGATATAGTGAAACTCCATATTTTTATTTTATTTTACTCACTCTCATAGGAAGAAGGTAAAAATGGCTCCAAGCTGAAAGGGGCAGGAGAAGCCTGAATGTTCGTCTTGATGATATCTGTTTGAAAAGACTGAGCATTTCTTCTTGGTCATACATGCAAAAAAAAAAAAAAAATGACAAAGTAATCAACATAACTAGAATCAGACTCAAAATGACTCAATAACTCAAAATGTTTTCAAGAAAAAAATAATAAAATAACTTAGAAATTACAAATGCAAAAAAAGGACCACATCCCATCTGAGTCCTTCAGACAGGGTGTTGCTGCGTTGGAGGGTGTGGAGCCTTTTTAAAATCCTGTCCAGGGGCCTCATTATCATGCACTACAATATTTAGCAGATAAAGTCCGTTTTCCTCCATAACATTTATTTTTACAGCTGTGGGGAAAAACAGTTGATGCTTAGAAAACGTTGTCAGAACAAATATCTTCCCGTGATAAGATACTGCAACTGATAACACTTTGTTTTTACATTATGTACATTTATTTAATGTTGATCTTGTTAGGTACTTAAAGAGCTCCCAGCTGCTGTGGGAGAGGCCCGTGGGTTTGGGCATGCCGTTACAACATATAATCAAACCTAGCAGCGTTTAGAGAAGCATGTGATCAGGAGGTTGCTGATTCGAATCCTCTCACCCCTACATTGCAATTTTGGGGGAAAGGTGAAGCACACACACCTGCCTCCACACTCATTTGCCCCACTCTGGGCTGTGGAGCAAGGCCCTTATCCCCCAGATCTGTTACTCAGGGCACCCTGGATGGCAGCCCTCTGCTCCCTGCAGTAGCTCATTGTGGTTGCATCAGGAAGGGCATCTGGTAACTGGGAAGCTCAGTCCTCACCTCCTTCTACAGGTGTGCAGTGGAGAGCACCCTGTGCTACAGGATCAACATGTGGCATGGAGACTGCACAACTGCATAAAGGAAGCTTTGCAGAGAGTGGTGAAGGCTGCACAGAAGTCTGTTGGAGTCAGCCTCCCCACCACCACAGGCATCTACACCTTCACATGCAGGAAGAGAGCCACCTGCATCATGAAAGACCCCACTCATCCAGCACACACACTTTTTGCCCCGCTCCCCTCAGGCAGAAGGTTGCGAAGAATTAAGTGCAGAAGCACTAGGCTGAGGAACAGCTTCTACCCTGAAGCTGTTAAGACTCATAAATCCCTAACGGGAGAATCACTGTAAGAAAATTAAAAAATACTGTAATGTCACTTTAATTGGTGATTTGGGGGAGTGGTGGTGCAGAGGTTAGAGAAGATGGAAGTCACAGGTTCAACTCCCGGTACCATCAACATCAAAATGTGGGTGGAAAAGGTGAAACACCCACACCTGTCTCCACCGTCATTTGCCCTATTCTGGGCTTCTGAGCAAGGCCCTTAACCCCCACCATCTGCTTCCTAAACAGGTCTCTCTTGAAAATGAGTTCTCGTGACTCAATGAGACTACCTGTATAAATAAAGGGTTAAAAAAAAAAAGATACTTATATGTGCTGCTGATTATCCATGCTGCTGATCTCATGCTGCTGATTATCTCATGCTGCTGTATTCATTCGTACCCATCTGCTCACCACAGACTCATGTTCGGGCTGCTGTTGTTACACCGTATCGTTTTACATTATTAGTGCTTAGCGTATATCTTAGATCTTTTATATTTTAGATTCTTATACTGTTTCTTTTGTATTTTTGCTATTTTTGGGTGTAACTGGGATCCTGAGTACATAATTTCGTTCCACCGCATGTACCACTTGTGACGTTAATGACAATAAAATTGACTTGAACTTGAAGCGCCAGTCTGCTTATTATATGATATATTGGCCTGCCATACTCATGACGTAAGGCGCACGTAGTTTGGGCGGTTTGTAAACGCTCTCCGCTCCTCCTCCTCTTCCTTCACACAGGCTGAGCTCTGACGGTCCGGGTGGAGTATTTTATTAGAACCAGCCGGCTGTAGCGTTCCTCCTCCTCCTCCAGTGGGTCAGAAATGGCAGCGGTCAGGACTCTCAGGAAGCTGTGTCAACACACCCGGTACCAAGTCTGTGAACTGCACACGTCGGCCTCGAGGTGAGTGGATCTGTCGCGAGCTCTCGCCCTCAAGAGTCTGACCGATTTTAGTTAGACACACAGTGAAGCGCCGCCATCGATCGAATGGAAATATGGATAAAATCACGTCTCTGGGTTTATTTTGAGTTCTACCTCCGTTGTCGGATTTATTTGGTGCTCACGGAGGAGGCTCGTCAGTTAGCTAAGCGGTTTCTTTCATTTGATTGTACTAAATGTCCGCAGTTGGTCGTGCTGCGGGGCGCCCACTAGCGGCGTGCCGGTAGCATTGCAGCAGGGGGAGGCTGATGAAATCGGGGACGGGGCTTGCACCCGGTGGGGGTGACAGGTTTTTACAGGAGATCATCATCAAGGTGTTGGTTTGCATGCAAGCACACATTCACTTGTTTATTATATTTCATATTTGATGGAGTTAATCTAATGAAAACAAGTGCTGTGTGTGTGTGTGTTGTGCTGCAGAGGACATGTCAGGAATTTAGTGTAAACTGAGATGCATGTAATTAGTCTGATGTTGCACACACTCCCAAATAAATTAAACCTCCTCGTGGTTCCTGCACATGATCTGCATGATCACAGTGGACAATGTCCAATCTGTGGTGTGTAAGGCGCATGTTATTACAACTTCGATAATCATGAAAAGTGAATTAGCAATGCAAAAGTATTAAGAAATGTGTAAATAATTAGATAAATTGAGTGTAAAAACCCATCCGTGATTCTCCCTTTTAAACTACTGGTTCAGTTAATCAAGTTTTCCCTCGGTAAACAACATTTTAGCTAAATTTGTGTGATTTTATTTAAAGTTTGACACATTTTTCCTTGAGTGTAGATGACTGTCCCCGTACTCTCATCAAACACGTCTCCTTGGGGTTTAATTGGTTTTGGCAGAAAAACAGAGGTTCTTACATCACAGATGATGGTTCATTAATCTTCAGTTATTGGCTGTCGCTTAATGTTTGGTGTTATATAATGTTAAACCTTGTAAATTTGGGAATATAAACAGTTGGATATTATTGCATAAGCATGTAAATACATTACGGTGATATTAGGAATATGATTCAGTCAAGTGGAGATGTGTTTGCCTCTAATTTTAGAAACTAGAACTGGTTCTTCTCCAAGCTGCATGATTGAAAGTCAGGAAGCAGATTCTGATTTCAAAACTTCTGATAAGTACAGACCACTTCCAAGTACTAAATGAGTTTTAGAGAAATATTGTAGAGACTGGTTACAGTTACAGCTGAGGCTATATGTTTCATTTTGTACTTACCGTTTAGTTACTATAAATTCACACTTCTCTGCTCGTCTCGATATCTTATGAACTCAGGCAGGAGGCGGTGGTCATCTCAGGGAGGAAACTGGCACGTCAGATTCGAGAAGACACCCGGGTCGATGTGGAGAAATGGGTTTTAGCTGGCAACAGTAGGCCACACCTGAGCGTGGTTCTTGTTGGAGAAGACCCAGCCAGTCACTCCTATGTTCTCAACAAAACTCGAGCTGCAGCTGACGTTGGTAAGTAGGGGAGAATATGCTCAAATGTGGAAAATATATATATATATATATCCTACAGTATAAACACACAAAAAAGATAAAAGTGTCCCAATATCCAGAAACTAGGATTTCAGATTTGACTTATAGTTCAAAAGATCAAGATCTGAATGCTCTGGAGCTCTTTTTGTCTTGTTTAGCTAAAATGCACTTAAGACATAACATCTAAACAAGAAAAAGATTTCATTTATGTTCATCACCATCGTAATGTGGCCACTACAAGGATAAATTAATATAACTGTCTGAGGAAGATTAATGTTGTAGCTGTAATGTGGGTACATGAGTTTACAGTGGTGGTAACTTAAGCTAACATTAATAATATGTATTGGTACTTCAAAAAATGGACAACTAAAAGGCTATTGGTTGTCCTGCATGCATGGTGTTGTTCTTTTTTTACTTGAAAAGCTGGTGAATATTGGGGCCAACAAGAAGCTTCAACCAGCGTTTTAAAATATTTAGCTTGTGTGTTTAATGTTTTCTCACTTTGAACTCCTACAGGAATCTCAAGTGAGACGATTCTCAAACACTCGGACATCAGCGAGGAGGAGTTACTGGACTTAATCTACAAACTCAATGCGGATCATCGCGTCAACGGCCTGCTGGTCCAGCTCCCTCTGCCAGGTACATGAACACTGGAAATGTCAGATGAGATTAGGTAATATGGTAAATCCCACTTGTGTTGGATTATTTTTGCGGGAGGGTTCTAAACCATGATGGAAAGCTTAGAATTCAGGTGAACCTAAAACGCTGTTGGTTTTTGTTTACTTTTGAGCTACTTTGTCTGTTTGTCCTGACTGTAACTCGTCTTTATTTTCACCGTAGATCACATCGATGAGAGGACGATCTGTAATGCCATTGCTCCTGCCAAGGATGTAGACGGCTTCCATGTAGTTAACGTTGGCCGCATGTGCCTGGATCAGTCTACCATGCTTCCTGCCACACCCTGGGGAGTCTGGGAAATTATCAAACGCACAGGTAACAGGAGTTACCTGTCACTTCACATAACCCCGAATTAGAAACGCTGTTAAATTAATCTTTATTTGTATTTTTCAGGAATTCCTACTTTTGGAAAGAATGTACTAGTTGCAGGGCGCTCCAAGAACGTGGGCATGCCCATCGCCATGTTGCTACACACAGACGGCCGACACGAGAGGCCTGGAGGTTGGTTAGTGTATATCTGTGTTCACATGTGAAATTACATTTAGGATAAAAGTTAAGTGTGTATATCCTTCTGTTCTGCTTCAGGTGATGCCACAGTCACCATTACTCACCGTTACACTCCAAAGGAACAACTTTGCCAGCACACTAAAATGGCGGACATCATTGTGGCTGCTGCAGGTTTGTCGCTTTTCATTTGTCTGAGGTGTTTATAATCTTCAGTTTTTGAGGGGAGTAAATTGTTTAACCACGGTACTTTTCTTTGGACTATCAGGAATTCCTAAGCTAATCACAGCAGACATGATCAAAGAGGGAGCAGCTGTGATTGACGTGGGAATAAACCGAGTTCAGGACCCCGTCACTGGAAAGAGCAGGCTGGTTGGAGATGTGGATTTTGAAGGTACAGTAAAGATGGAGTGGGACTGGTTTTCTGCTCTACATTTTCCTCTCTCCACTGTGTTTGTAACATGTGTTTTCTGTCCACATTCAGGCGTGAGGAAGAAGGCAGGATTCATCACCCCGGTCCCAGGGGGAGTTGGACCCATGACTGTAGCAATGCTCATGAAGAACACCGTCAAAGCTGCCAAGAATGTCCTGCAGATTCCTCCTGAGAGAATCCGTTTGGCTGCTGCATCCTAATGAACCAGAGCGTCCCCAGCTGCAGTGACTCATTCCACCCAATGACACCCCCTCCTATTTTTATTTTTTACCTTGGAACGACTGGCCAAGCGCTTGCACACAAACTAGAAAGAGGAGAGCTTTGAGGCTCTCTTTCTGCTGACGACTTTCCGAGCGTCACGTCCAGCCATGTACAGTATAGTCTGTTACATCCACTCATGCAGCTGCATGTTCTTTGTAACAGTAATCCTCAGTTGTAATGTACTTCTTTGACATTGAAGTTTTTAAAGAGTCTTGAGAGATTGTTTCTATTTATTGCTACAGAGACACATTTTAAACATGAATGCAGTGATTATTTATAACTAACATATGAGCAGTTAAAAACAGAGTGACTGAATCTTGTTTGATTCTTTGTTAGTTTAGGCTCAAGTATTGGAAGTGTTAAGGGCTAACATCATCAGGAACAAGGATGTTTATCAATATACAAGCTTTAAATATTCACTAATGCCTTTGCAGAACATTTTAAATGAATACAAGTATCTTCTCACATTGTTGCTTTCTATGCACAGTCAGAAAATAAGATGGGGTAATTATATAAATAGAAATAATATAACAGAATTGTATTTTTCACAGGAAAAACAAAATAATCTGTTGACACCTGATAGACTGACCTTTTCAGGTTGTCCTTTATTTTACAGCCCCTTTTTTTTATTTGATCAATTTTTGTCATTTGTAAGGTGAGAAATACTGCAGATCTTTGTTCTTATACACTGAATTTGTTGGATTTGTTTGGATCTTATGTCAGTGTAAAGTTTGTTATTTGACCTGTTTATGTTTGGACATTCATTGCTGTTCTGACAAAGCAACTAAAAAGTAAAAAAAATAAAAATCTGTAAGAATTAAAGAACTTTTATAATATATACCAGTAAACATGTCAATTCTTCTAAAGACCACATAGAAATTAGCTGTATGATCAATAGTTTTAGGAAGTTTTTGTGTTCTGCAGACATTGGATAAAGTGAGCAGACAGGGTAATGTTACCATTAGAAATTCATGAAATATATACTCCCTGTGTATATTTACTTTCATTGACAGCTCAAAAACAAAAGTACAAAAAAGAAGAAACTGGAAATATAAGCTACAGGTTTCACCTGAAAGGGAAATGCACAAAATGCACTTTTTATTAGGACACAAGAGAACTGCAGAACTGATCAAATAAAAACAACTGGAGTCATTTTCCTTCTATAGAAAATTGCATATGGTTACTTAGTAACATACCTATTTTGTCACAAATCGTGTGTGATGAAGTAATATCAAAATGATGCTTAAATATAAAACAATAACATAAATATCACTTTAGTTTCATAACTGGGAGCTTTGATTTATCCTATAGAGACATACCAGCTCCTTTTTCCACTAAATAAAATTTGTCCAGAGCAGCAAAGCGTATTTGAAACTTATTTTAAATACTATTAATTTCCTTGTAAATTCTGATCAAGGCTGCAGGGAGTTGCTGCAGAAGAACTGCAGATTACAGTTTACCACCATTGTACTTAAATGCACTTCTTTGAGTGAAACTAAACCATTTATAGCATGTGCAGTAATACTAACCTGCTAGCCAAGATGAATTTAACCTCTAACTGCTCAAGTTGGTTTATCCAGAAGAAATACTGTAATTTAACTCGAGCACATCTTTAATGATGCTTTGGTGGAAGCCTGAAACAGGCAGAAGAGAACTTGGAGAGGGGGAGGTATGCACATGAAAGAAGAGGAATGAAAGCTGTAGTAAGACAGAGTACATGTGTGTAAATGAGAGGAAGACAGGTTGCTGGACAGGTGGAACAGTGAGGCTACAATGAGCAGAGGTCACAAAGATGCAAGACTTCAAGTACTTTAAATGGGGAATGTGGTAAAGAGGTGAAAAAATAGTCCAGGCAGGATGGAGTGGATGGAGAAAAGTTTCAGGAGTGATTTATGTCAGCAAAAGTCAAAGGAAAAGTTTACAAGACAGCGGTGAGACCATCTATGTTGTGTGGTCTGGAGACAGTGGCATTGACAAAAAAAAGACAGGAGAAAGAACTAGAAGTGGAAGAAATGAAGATGTAGATGTTCTCCTTAGGAGTGACAAGGATGGATAAGATTAATGAGATCATCAGAGGTACAGAACAGGTTGAACAACTGGGAGTTAAAGTTAGAGAGGCCAGACTGAGATGGTTTGGACATGTCCAGAGGAGAGACGGTGTATTCATTTAACCTTTATTTGGACAGGTTAATCCCATTGAGCCATGGGGACTCTTTTACAAGAGAGACCTGATTTTTTTTAACAGTGATGGCAACAGGGAGTAACAACAACAATAGACAGTCACAAAAGAGGCATACAAAATTTAATATTTTTCTTTTTTTTTTTTTTACAAATCAAAACAAAAATAGCAACCAAAAGGACATTCAAAAGGAAAAGTAGTGAAAAAATCAAAAGGAAAAGTAGTGAAAAAAAAAACAAAAAAAAAACAGCTAGATTATAAGGCAGTGTAGAAAACTAAGAACAGAAGCACGTCTGCATTGGTTTTTGCCATGAACTTAACCAATTTTTAAAGCCACTTAGAGAGGTCAAGGTCGAGAGCTTCAGGTCTTTTTGCAAGATATTCCAGGGAACAGGAGCGGAGTAGGCTCTTTTACCTAGTTCAGTCCGCAATATTGTATTGATAGAAGGATGTTAGAAATGTAACTTCCAGGAAAAATGCAAAGAGGAAGGCCAAAGAGGAAATATATGGATACAGTTAGAGAGGACATGGAGGTAGATGGAGTGAGGACAGAAAATGCAGAGTGAGATGCAGAAGGATGACTTTGGCGACCCTTGAAGAGGGAAAAGCAGAAACAATGATACTCCAAAATATGGTAACTCAGGTCTTGGTTATTAGCCAGTCTTCATGGTCCCAAATATAAGTATTCAAATCATTACTTTTAAATCAAATCATTTACAGACTGTTTTAAAATCATCAGTTTTCAATTAGAGCGAACAAGTCTATGATTATATGTTTATGGTCGGTAAATCTTAAAAGTAAAGATAGAAGTACTTAAGCCCTCACTATAAAATAATCTTGTGTGTCGTAAAAGTGTTACTCTTTAAAGAGTAATAAAATAAAGATGCTATTAATAATTTGTGCTACAGCGGAACCTTTGTTTTGCTCCGAGGCCGATTTGGCAGACGAACGCGTTTCCGGAAATGAGCACAGTGTTTCCGTTTGTCCAAACTAGACTTTGAAAGCTGTAAACAATTTGTTTCTCCGCGATGGGTCGCAGTAGATCACCGGACAGAGCTAGAAGAGAGGAAAAGAAACGGAGACGATCTTCCTCCTCATCGTCCTCCTCCTCTTCCAGCAGCAGAAGCAGATCAAAGTCGAATAAGACGAAAACTCACAAAAAGAAAGGTTAGCCGACTCTTCTCAATATGAACTAGCCCTTTAACCCAAGCACACTGAGCATTTCTTTCTCCCTCAGATGGACAGAGAAAGAAGCGCAGAACTCGCTCTTCGTCATCATCGTCCACCTCCTCGTCTTCCTCCTCCTCTTCCTCATCATCTTCATCCTCGAGAGATGAGAAGAAAAAGAGGAAGAAAAGCAAAGCCAAGAAGAGCAAGCTGAAGAAGGAGAAAGCAAAGCTGAAGAAGGAGAAAGCTAAACTGAAGAAACAGAAGAAAAAGGAGAAGAAGTTGAAGAAGAAGGAGAAGATTAAGAAGGATGCAGAGGAGCCTCAGGGAGCAGCAGAGAAGCCTCCATCGTACCTGGAGATGTGGCAGAATGATGAGGAGGCAGAGGAGCTCGGACCAGGTGACACTTCACGTGCTTACATGAATACCTGAGGTCTTTTGTAAATGTTTATGACAGTGTGGCCAAAATGTACCAGTACCACAGCGCTTTGCAGCTGGTTTAAGAGGAAGGGAGTGAGATGCTCTACACAACACCTTTACATAGTCTTGAAAAGTTAAATTATTATTATTATTGTATTTTCCAGGTTAGGCCAATTGGTAAATCTAATGTGTCCCTACTAGGTGTGAGTGAGTGTGTCAATGGTTGTTTGTCTCTATGTGTCCTTGTGATGGACTTGCGACAGTCCAGGGTGTCCCCCGCCTCTCACACAGTGACTGCTGGATATGGGCACCAGTAACCCAAAAAGGAAAAAGTGGGTAAAAGTAATTAATGAATTGATGAGTAAGTATGGAAGAAAACAAATACCGGTGTATTGAAAAAAAAAAACATTTGTTTTTTCAGACTCTGCTCCTTGTAAATTTAATAATAGTGTATAAAAGATAGACAAACTCATCATGACGTTCACTTTTGTTTTATCTACAACATCAAGCTTTAAGTCTCTGTCTAACTTTTTTAAGGTTATGTGCCTTGTGAGATATTACAGACTGTGAGATATTACAGACACAAACTCAGAAATCCTTAAAAATTAATTTAAATTAAAGCGCACTGTCACTATTTCTTATGACAAATTGTAGCACCTATATGGAGACTATCATTTAGTTAATATTAGGTTTTAAAAAAACTAAAACTTTGTTTCACTATCATAGACTTTGTAGAATTATATAAATTAGTTTTTCAGTAGATGTTATAAATAATACCAGGAACATTGTCTACAATGGCTAAAGTGCATCTTTAGAAAGTTTGCTTTACAAAGTTTGCTTGCTAACATACAAACACAACATAATTTTTTTAAATGTATTCTCAGATCTGTTTAGTTTTACATTTGCACAAGTACTCCATTTCACAAAGCTTTTTTTCATGTTTTTATTCTGCTTTCCTCTCCAGTCATGACCGACGAGCAGAAGGCCCGACTTTCCACTAAGAGGCCTCTCACCAAAGAGGAATACGAGGCCAGGCAGAGCGTGATCCGCAAGGTGGTGGACCCTGAAACAGGACGCACCAGGTATGGTATAGGAACGACTGTAGTTCAGCAATAATAAAATGGTTAAAAATAAAGGTTTGAGATGACTGACATTCTTATTTTTCTTATCTTATCCAGATTGGTGAGAGGAGAGGGAGAGATCATTGAGGAGATAGTCAGCCGAGAGAAACACAAAGATATCAATAAGGTAAACCTTTCCCGTTTCCTGTTCCCATTGTTGCCATGAACTTCACACTGACCTTCTGTTATTCCCACAGCAAGCTACAAAGGGAGATGGTAATGCCTTTCAGAGAAAACTGGGAATCAACAAGTAGGAAAAATCAAGTTTCATTAAACATCACCAGTCTGTGACAGAGGTTTGCTCAAACTGCTGAAGTGTTCAGAACATTGAACAAAATGTTTGGATGTGTTGAGTCAATGAGGAGCTAAACAAGCAGCAACTTTACATGATGACAAATAGTTTAGCTTAATTTATATTTACTTTTTCTGTGTTAATGTAAAATGTTTAGAAATATTTCAAACGTTTGATTAGGGTTTTGGACTGGGTTGTGACGATAAACATTTAAATGATATTTTCATGAAATAGCAGCAATGATTACTGTATAATTAATGTAAACCACAAAGAGTTAGATCAAAGTGCTGTGTTTTTTATTTTGGCTACACCCTTTTTACATTCATTCTTTATTTTTCTATATAAATGCTTGAAATGTAACATTTTTGTTAAACGTCTTCATCATACTGAGCAAATATATTTTGCGTCCTTCATTTTTTGCTTCCATGAAGCCAGGCTATTATGTCATTTTTAGAGTTGTTTTTTAATTGTTGGCTGCTTTTTTCTAGGTCTGCCACTTTCTCTTCAACAGATATAGCAGATTGTCAGGCACAAAAACTAGGTGGAATCTTGAGTGGAAAAATATGCCAGTGTCTTAAAAAAGAAACAAGCTGAAAACCCTTAAGTCTGAAGAATTATTGGGCGGACAGAATAAGTGGACAAAAGATGAGTGGAGATATGCAGTAAGGGACCAGAAGTCAAGAGTTGAACCCAGCCCTGCTGTAACGAAGACTTTGAGGACATGTTGACTCAAATCAAACCCATCTTTAACATGAAGCTGAATCTTGGTCTTTAAAGTGCACACACAGGTCAACGTGTTTTAGTTTTTCATAACTTCTTTTTACTATGTTCATAAAATGTACAAAGGAAAAGATAAAAACAAAATTATCCAAAACCCACAAAATATACACCCTGTACAAGTCAAACATTTTCCAAGCATGGCTTGTCCGTTTTAGTTTTCCAGATATTTACAATGAAGTTGTTGAAACAGTTGTCACATTAGATCAACCCAGGAATCATCTGTGAAGAACGGTAGATTAATTCTTTAAAAGAACTCTACATGAACGACCGGTCTTCCTTTTTTAGGTCCGTTTGGGTGTAAACAGTATTTATTTGAAACATTTTCATACAACAATGATTATAAAGCAAAAAAACCCAACATAAATGGCCTTTGTGTTTTTATCACCACCACAATTGAAGCGATTGTCTGCCCCAAGGTATTTAAACTTCAGTGTTGTTCCAACATAGCCTATTATTTTCCATATTTCCTTTATATGTACAGTTGTTTTTTCCCAACAACTTGACCTTGACAAGCAGCAGAGGTACAGCGGTTTACTGTAAGTAAAAGCAGGAAACATTTTTGATTGAAACTGCAAGTTCCTCATGAGAAGCTCAGAGGGCAAAAGAAGATCTCAGATATAAAAATCGCTAATAAAGTGGTTGCAAAATTCCAAGGATTTTCAAAGTTGAGATATTTTCATGAAAAAAAACGGCAACAAACCAGGAATTAAAAATATTAAAGGTCACTCCTGAACCTGCATTTTGAATATAGTTGGGGAGATTTTGACTAAAACCAGATTACATGGCTGCACCACTGAAAAAATGATAAGACTGTTGAAACATGAAAAGTTTTGTTTGAAATTGTAAAAAAAAAGTTGTCTATGTTGATAAAATGTAAAAAAAAAAAAAAAAAAAGGCAAAATGATTCAACAAGATGCAATAAATTAATTCAGTCATGTGAATTAAATTTGAGATTTTCTGAACATAAATTTAAACATTTCAATTTTCATTTTGCTTTTATGGGAATACCATGACAAAAAAAACAAAACAAACAAAAAATCTTTGTTCAGTCGTGTACCTGAATTTAGAAAGATTACAACAAAAAAATGAAATGTTCAAAATCCACTCTTTATAAAAGTTGTGATGTAATCATAAGCAACTGATTTTACTTTAATCATCTTTACGTGAAACTCATTACACTTTTATCTGTCTAAGGCAAATAAAATATATTATTTGAATATGACACGGTCTGTTTAAATTTCCAGTTTATTTCTAAAAATTTCCTTGAAGTTTCCAATTAGAATTTCCAAAATCTCCCAGCTTAATTTCCCATGAAAAGTTTATATATATAATATATATTGAGGAGCTTTTACAGAATTTGAGTTTCCTTCATAGACCTGGTTTTTACTGCTGAAATATTTCAGGAATTGCAGTACTTTTTTCTTACTCAAAGTATATGTACTGTAATGCTGGAATAAAAACAAAAACATCTCCACAGAAATGAGCCATCTGTAACTTTACACTGATATCAGGTCTGTGCCTCTTTATTGTGAGAAATCTCCATTTGGTGAAAATGTGCACCTGTGCCTTGGGCGGCGCCAACATCTGGACATCAAATCTCTGCAGTTTGACGTCTGTGGATGTGCCAGTTCGACTGATTGTCAGTGCACGGCGTTTTCTTTAACGGTCTGTTTGATCTGGAGGTGCTGCTGAGTAATATTGCACATTTTCCCTTTACATTTGCGCCAATATTGGTCCACTGTAGTCAGCTTTTAGCATGCCTGTTAGAGGGGACAAATAACAATCGTTTGATAATTAAAAAAAATTATAATAATAAAATCACCCAATTTGACTAGTTTTAAAAATAAATGGCTAACATAATAAAGTGAGTCTCTCCTCTGCTTTCCTAACTTCAATAATATACAGAATTTACAATTTCCTTCCACATGGTCTTCCTGTAAAGGCGCAACATAAAGAAATACAGTAATCTATGGAGGATATTTAGGAGCACATTCAACGCCTCATTTACAGCTCAGAAAATTACCAGAAAGAAGCCAAAATATCAAATTTCCAAAATGGCTAATATCAAACATATAATATTTGACAGAAGTCCTGTTACAACCCGGGTGATCTGAAAGGAAAGAATAAAAAATACAATACTGTGCCAGGCAAAAACGTCTGCATTTTGGCTGCCGCAACCTAAGTTTGAAGAGAAAAACACGACATAACAAAAGTAATCTCAAAACACTTTTTTGTTCACAACGATCAATGAATTTTAAAATAGCTATAGTCTTAAATAGCAATAAGCTTTATCAATATTCAATAAAATATATCCTGAATGAGTTGGTGTTCACCCCCAGAGTAAAGAAGACCCTTTAAAATGGTCTTCAGTGGACCAGATACCAGATCTGCTCTGTAATATAATAATTATGTACAAGCCTCGGTCGGGCATTTAACTACATACTTACACAATCGGTCATTTTTACATATGAGACCTCAGTTTCCTCTCTGCTCCATCTATACTGTTTACTTTGGCACCTCAACTGTACAGTAATAGTTTACCTTATAGTTGAGTCATACATTAGGTGGTGAAATGCTATTAAAAGAAAGACAATTTCAACTGCAATAATAGTTAAAGGGTCAGTTCAGACTTTCGTTCATGTGATGTACGATAGCGCCTTTGTGTCTCAGAGTTTCAAACAGGCCCAGAAAAGTTTGAATTTAAACTTAATAGCGTGTGTTTGCTGTTGGTAAAGTTTAGAGATTCTTACAAATCAGCTGAAAGATTACGGTAATCACTCTTTTGGTTAAAAAGAAAGTGCTCAGTCCAGAATCACTCGACTCTCATAAAGTTAGTCTCTGTTGCAGTTGTGCTTGCACTGTAATATTCAGAGTGTTTAACACTTTTATGTGTTAACTGCAGATTACAGCATGGAGGTGAATATTGTGTGACTGTCTCTGGTCTAAAAGCTGTGGAGGAGAGCTGACCTTATATTCAAGACTGTAAAATATTCACTAAACAGAAATAAACAGTCTGGACGTCTACAGTAGATTATTTTCTAGTTGTGTACAAGATTCAGACCAGAGGGACGGTTCCTGAAACGTCTTGTTTTTAACATGAATTCACAGCCTGTCCTTAAATATTTGTGTTGAATGAAACTGGTGCTAGTTTTATAAGGAGTGGTGTGCAGCACCAGATTTTCTTGTGGTGTTAACATTGTTGGTGCAAATCTGCAGTTTTTCACTCTTTGCATTTATCTTTAAGCCATGTGTTTCCCAGCCCTGTATTTGTTGAATCCCTTCCATCAGAAATTCTCAGATTGTCTTTAAAATCTCATTTGGGGCTAAAAACAGCAGGTTCCAGCTTGGTGCTGGTGCTGCTGCTGCGGCCCCAGCAGCTCGCGGTGATGCTCATGCTGCGCTGAGCTGCTCCCTGACCGTGGCAGTGAACGCGCTCCAGACGCTCCCGCTCCAGACGCTCGCTGTCTGATTGGCTCTGCGTGCGCTCGGGCTTGTTGTGGATGTTGCCTGTCGGGGAGCTGGGGGCTGGCTGTGAGGAGATGGTGCGCAACAGGTGGTTCCTTTTTCTCAGGAAGTCGCTGTTCGCACCTAAGCCAAAGCTTCCTTTACGTAGGACCATGCGTGCGCTGCTGGACTTGGCTGGCCGAGAGCGGTGGTTGTACTCCAGCTGCGACAGATGAGCTGCATATCCCTCTATGATGAACTGAGGAGAAGATCAGAGTTTAGCAACATCTCAAGAAGTAATCATTATGAAGCTGCAGGGGTGAGAAAACAACTGAGATGTTCTTAAAATGAAAAACAGCCTCTGAATGAATTCTACCTGGCACTGGCTCTGCATCTTCTTGGAGGGTCTGCCGACGATGTAGATTTGAGAAGGAGGAAGGCCGATTGAGGTGTAGACAGAGATATCTTTGGTTGATCCATATCCAGCAAAAATCTTCATGTTTGCCTGTAAGAAACCAGATCACAAAGGTAGATCTTTGTTACAAATTAGAGAAACAGATATTTAACGTATTGATGTCAGCACTTGTTTTCTTAAATAAATGGCATATGATTGAAAAATATTGCACAAAAAGCACTGTGCAAAAGCTTTGATTCCTTATTTCTTTCATTTTGCTTCCAGTGAGCCAAACTTTCAAAGTGTTTTATTTTTATCAATGTCTCATCAGGACTTCTGAAAGTCTTTGCTGTATTTGTTTTTTTAAGTCTTTGGCTGTTTTGTCACTTACTTTCAGCCCAGCATCAGTCAGAGGAAATATCTTTTAAAATTATCTCTGACTTTTTAATCTTTTAGGCATGAATAATTTTAAATAGAATAAAAAAATCTTTAAAATACTTTCAAAAAGCCTGAAGAACTGTTGGTCAACACTACTTGGAAAGATTTAGAAGGAGGTCTAGCTCTTAGAAATCAAAGCATAGGTGGTTTAAAACATTTGCACAGTACATTTAACCCCAGACTCCCTTTTCACCCAGTCTGACCTCTGTCAGGGTCTTGAGGAAGTTAGCCTTGTGTCTGAGCGGGTCATGGACTAGGCCATCGCAGAAGGAGACAATGCCATGTGGGAAGTTGTGCTGAGACAACCAAGCCACCACCCGCTGCTTCTGCATGTCTGGACGTCCGGTCACGTAAATGATCAAATAACCTAAATCCTGCCAGTGTCTGAGACAGGACCATGCAAAGACAAAACACACAGATGAACTTCAGTCTGAGAAGAAATCTTGAAGTAAAATAAATGAGATAGGTGCAGCTGAATACCTGACAACATCCACAGCTCCTGCTCGCACTTTGGGATCACTGCCCATGATTGACACGCTGGCAGCAAACGAACCGTCGATGCTAAAAACTACAAACTCTGTGCCACGTGGAACAACAGTCAGGTAGCTGTCTGCAAATGTGTGGTCACCTCTAAAAAAAAAAAAAGAAGCCAGAATTAGAAAATAGAGCCACAAAATATACATTGAGACATAAAAATAATATATAGGGGAAAAAAGCCAGAGTTTAGTCTAAATCTTATGTCACCTGACGACCATTTTCACAGGGTAAACTCCGATGCCCAGGCGCTTGTCCTCCGAGATGTTAAAAGACACCCGACCGCTGCTGTTAGTCACCTCGGTGCTGAAGTACACCCATTCTCCTGATGGAGGCTGCGTCATGATGTGGAGGTCGACCTGTGCGTGATTTTCAGAAACATACAAACACTTTTAGTAACTCAGAAAGCACAAACACAGAAGATACGAGTTCCTGACGTTAGATCGTTGGTGTCTACCTTCTCCCCGGCTAAAGTCACCATGTCCAGAGGGCCATACATGAAGCGACCCGCTATGACCTGTAGTTCGCCCTCAGTAAACACAGCGTCGTTCACACGGTGGTTGGCCGTCACATTCTGTCAAACAAGTTTAAAACATGCTGTGGGTGGTTTGTCTAATCTATAGTTTACTTAGAAACCAAAGATCATGGCACAATTCGAACCTTTCTATGGAAACTAGGGATGCACGATATTGGATTTTTGGTCGATATCTGATATGTTAAAACTTTTTTGGCCGATAACCGATACCAATACCGATATTTTATTTCCTAGACCTACTTACAGAGACTTCATAGCTTTCTCTGCTGTAGAATTAAAATACTACATTATTCTACATGGTCTTTGTCAGTTTGGCCTGCTATCAAATGCAGATGCCAAAAAGGGGTCTGAAAATGATGTAACACTTCAGCTTGGATTATGTTTAATGTCAAATTTATTCATGACATTTAATCTCTCTAACACAATGACAACACTCAAACAGTGCAAACCGGATTCCAAAAAAGTTGGGACACTAAACAAATTGTGAATAAAAACTGAATGCAATGATGTGGAGGTGCCAACATCTAATATTTTATTCAGAATAGAACACAAATCGCAGATCAAAAGTTTAAACTGAGAGAATGTATCATTTTAAGGGAAAAATCTATTGTTTCCAAATTTCATGGCGTCAACAAATCCCAAAAAAGTTGGGACAAGTCCATTTTTACCACTGTGTGGCATCCCCCCTTCTTCTTACAACACTCAACAGACGTCTGGGGACAGAGGAGACCAGTTTCTCAAGTTTAGAAATAGGAATGCTCTCCCATTCATGTCTAATACAGGCCTCTAACTGTTCAATCGTCTTGGGCCTTCTTTGTCGCACCTTCCTCTTTATGATGCGCCAAATGTTCTCTAGAGGTGAAAGATCTGGACTGCAGGCTGACCATTTCAGTACCCGGATCCTTCTCCTACGTAGCCATGATGTTGTGATTGCTGCAGAATGTGGTCTGGCATTATGGTGTTGAAAAATGCAGGGTCTTCCCTGAAAGAGATGACATCTAGATGGGAGCATATGTTGTTCTAGAACCTGAACATAGTTCTCTGCATTAATGGTGCCTTTCCAGACATGCAAGCTGCCCATGCCACAAGCGCTCATGCAACCCCATACCATCAGTGATGCAGGCTTCTGAACGGAGCGTTGATAACAACTTGGACTATCCTTGTCCTCTCTTGTCCGGATGACATGGCGTCCAGTGTTCCATAAAGAACTTCAAATCATGACTCATCTGACCACAGAACAGTCTTCCATTTTGCCACACTCTATTTTAAATTACCCCTGGCCCAGTGCAAACGTCTGAGCTTGTGGAGCTTGCTTAGAAATGGCTTCCTCTTTGCACTGTAGAGTTTCAGCTGGCAACGGCAGATGGCACGGTGGATTGTGTTCACTGACAATGCTTTCTGGAAGTATTCCTGAGCCCATTCTGTTATTTCCTTGACAGTGGCGTTCCTGTTTGAGGTGCAGTGACGTTTAAGGGCCCGGAGATCACGAGCATCCAGTAGAGTTTTACGGCCTTGACCCTTACGCACAGCGATTGTTCCAGATTCTCTGAATCTTTTGATGATGTTATGCACGGTTGATGATGATAACTTAAAAGTCTTTGCTATTTTACGCTGGGTAACACCATTATAGTATTGCTGCACTATCTTTGCGCAACAATGGTGGAATTGGTGATCCTCTTACCATCTTGGCTTCTGAGAGACACTGACACTCTGAGAAGCTCTTTTTATACCCAATCATGTTGTCAATTGACCTAATTAGTGTTAATTGGTCTTCCAGCTGTTTGTTATATGCTCAATTTCCTTTTGCCAGCCATTTATTGCTACTTGTTCCAACTTTTTTGGGATTTGTTGACACTGTGAAATTTTGAATCAACATATTTTTTCTTTAAAATGTTACATTTACTCAGGTTAAACTTTTGATCTGTCATCTATGTTATATTACGAATAAAATATTGACATTTGCCATCTCCACATCATTGCATTCAGTTTTTATTCATAATTTGTTTAGTGTCCCAACTTTTTTGGAATCCGGTTTGTATTTATATTTATATATATATATATATATGAACAGCGCCTTTTATTTCAGTGAGTTATTTTGATGGAATGGCCGATGTCCGATATTTAACTTTATTGCTAATATCGTCCGATACAGATACCATGCCGATAATATTGTGCATCCCTAATGAAAATGTTTCTACAGTAGCAGAGTGAGCAGCTTGAAACTGGAGGATTGTTCTCATTTCAGACCTACCCTGATCTTGACGTGAGTCCTCTTACGGAGCCACTTTTCTCGAGGTTTAGAGGGGGTGAATTCAGACACTTCCTTCCCATCGAGCTCCAGAATGCTCGAGTTTTCATGCCTCATGACCTAAAAGGTGAGATTTCACTGAGTCATCCCATTTAAAAATAACAAGCCTCAATGCCAACAGGCTGCATATGAACAAGGGGAAATTTTGTTAGGTTCGCTCACCTGCCTTAGTAGAAAAGACACAACATCGGTGGATTCCCAGTACGATGCGTGAAAGAGGTGCGGCAAAGCAACAGTGGGGAAAGCGGTCAGAGCATCGGGGCAGTACAGGGCAAAGTCTAGCCGCTTTGTGCCCCACCAACGTGCTGCAACTGCAAACGGGAACGGATTTAATAGAATGAAGATGTATAAAATGAAACAGTGGGAATCAGTGTGAGGTACACGATGAAGGTGCAACGGCCTTGAAACTAAAAACCAAACAAAGTTACATTTAATCTGTCATCAAAATCATCACCACTTCCAGCAGTCCTTCAGCTGCAGGCGGGAAAGAAAAGTGTTTATGAATTTTGCTATCAGAAAAACCATGCATTGAATTAAAGAAGAAGAAGTCATTAGAACTAAGATGTGACTTTACGAGAAGCTGCGTGTTAACTGAGGTTAGTGTGGTGATTAAAACAAGAAGATAGTTTTTAAACCAGAGTGCCAGACCTTATTCCCACTCAGTGAAAGTGATTGCACTTGAATTCTTGTGAAGTAATTTAGTAAAAGAATTCAAGGAGAAGAAGAAGAGGCTTCCAGGAAGTGCAGCATTGGGCTTTGGATAGTGTAGAACAGCACACAGAAAACACCGGAAGCCTCGCTGTGATTTTCCCACTCCTGAGAAAGATACCTTGCTCAACTTCAGCCTGGGAGTCCAGTGAGACCAGATCAGATATAGCACAGTCCAGCAACGCTGACGGGACGTTCTCGTACTGGGAGGTGGGACTTAGACTTTCAATAGAGTCTGCCTCAGCATCCAGCTCGATAACTAAATCTGCATCGGAAGATCCTTCAGCCAGGCCCACCTCTGGTTTTTTTTTGGCCTTAGGAGGACTTTTCAAGAAGAATTTGTTTTGTGATGACAGGGCAAGTTGGGACAAAAGACTGGAAATTCTGGTTTGCTTAATCTGGTCTGATTTAGCTATAATGGGGGGGAGAAAGAGAAAACCACATAATAAAATGTATGTATTTTCATAAGCAAAATATTTTTTTTACAGTTTAAACAGTTTGCAGAGTGATGCTGAGATGCATCCAGATGCAACAGGCTCATTTGTAAAGAAATGAATGTCTAAAGTGAAAAATTAATTGTTAGTAATGAAGTACGGTAACAAAACGAGTTGATGCTGTTGAAGATATTCTTGTGTTAAAGCAAAATTAAACCTTAAGTGATTTTGTGCATATCAGTGCTCAGATCCATAGTGCAAGATACAATTAAACAATCTGGTAACAAAAACATTAAAGTGAAGGGGAGGAGGGACTTTGGTGGACAATTCAACAAAAAAGAAAACAGTGCTGATTATCTCAGCAAACACTGCAGTAGGTGGTGGACAACGCAGAAATGGCTTGGGGAGGACAGAAGGTGTCCACATGCATTGAAACATTAGATAAATGCAGCACTCGGTCATTGCATTTACGTTTTAGACAGTGGATATAAGACAGACAGTGGAAAGTGGCTCTAAGCTTGCTCTTCTGTAGAACTTGACATTAATCAGCTCATAAATTATGACAAAAATGAGCTGACCACCCTGCACCCTTACAAGAAACAGGAAGCGTATTCGTGTGTGCCTGTCTGACCAGACTGATCTAGGTGAACTGCAGGGTGTGTGTAGAGTCAGAGTAACGAAAGCTGAGAGAGAGAATGGGAGAAACAGATGGTGTTTCCCAAAGTGGGAAAAAGAAACAAGGCTGAGAAATAGAGCAAAGTTGGCCTGAGAGCAAGAGAAAGTGGGAAATTACTGAGAGCAGAGGTTGTGTGAGTGGACGGAAGAGAAAGAGGCTGGTTGGTAGCAAGAACACTTACTGTTGGCTATGTTGGTGGCAGTGAAACTGTCTGCCATTCCTGAGACCTGGCTGGCAATGCTGACCTCACTGGCTCTCCGTTGGCCCCGGGAGAGGGGCCCCGTTATAGGGGATGAGGGGTACGAACTGTCCATGAAGACACCACCATGAGACTGAACAACATCCGCTATTGAGCCCAAACAAGGAGATCCCATTAGACAGAGACACAGGTAAGGTAAGACACAGTGATGGGTGGGAGGGGAAGGGGTGGGTGACAGCAAGCATCATGGTTTCAGAGGACACATGAAACCACAAGGAGGCTACATGCTGGCCACAGACTGATTTCTTTACCTGACCTACAAAAAACATACATTTATAATTGTAAATGTCGATCTTGAGTTTTACTATGTAAGACTACTTTCCAATATTTGGTCCAAAAATCCTTTGACTTAATACATAGAACTGAAGGCTGTATAAAATCAAATGACCTCTGACCATTGAGAAAGCACAAGCTACAGTTTAAACAGGATAGGTACACTGAGCTTCATGCTCACTGTGTAAATGCAGCACAAGCAGCTAAATGTGCACATCAAAACAACTCTCTGTGAGTTGGATGACAGCAGAGATACCCTCTGTCTGTCAACATCGATAATTTGAAGTCACAGAGCTGATGCAGATGAAACTTGGCTCAAATAGCACAACACAAGCACTTGCATCCTCCAAACACTGAACATGATGTGAACACATAATGCCAAAAGAACGCTTCGTCACAACAGCTTCTCAAATTTTTAAGTTCTGTATTTCCATCGCATTAGTTACGTTTTGTTCTTTTTTCTATTTCAATTAGTTTTCAGTTAGTATTTTAAATTAAAATCTTAAACGAACCAAAAGTCATGCAATTAAAAGACCTTTTTTGTTTAGTAGAAAAAACAGGATGCTACCTGGAAATGTAAACTTTGCACAAAAAGTAAAGAAATTTGTGTTTAGTTGATTATTTATTTGTTGTAACAATGCTCCTTGACAATAAGTCTTACTTATTCTGCTATTGGCTCTTGTATACAGAGTCTGGCAGGCCAGGTGATGACAATCAGACACCTGATGATCAAAGATGAGCTCCAGAATTTGCGAGTGTAGAGAAAGAAATGGCTTGAGCATGCTGTTCATTCCACAGTGGCCAAAACATCCACACTGGCTGACTTACAATAAACACTGATTAAAGAATGGAATGTCATCCCACAGCAGTGTGTGGTCAAGCTGACAAATGACATGAGGAGGAAGTGCCTGTAGCTTGTGGCTGTGTAAGGTTCTTCCGCATGTTACTGTTTGCTAACTGAATAATATGTCTTATTTCTTCACACTTTAATAATCTAGTCCAATAAACAACTCCGAACAAGAGTCAATAGTAAAATGAGCTGTTTTGCATTAGCACAGTAGCTTTGGCAAGATTTTCATGAGCGCCACCAACAAATACATTTTACTAACAAATGAGGCACTATTTATAAATTGGCTTTCCAACAGAGTAAGATTTATTGCCAAGAAGCACTGTTACCACAAAGAATAAATAAAACTACACTAACACAAACTTCCTTAATTTTGGTGCTATTTGGATATTCAGTAATTCAACAGGTTTTATTAATGAGAAACACAATTTCCCTTCCTGAGTCTAACAGCAGCAATGGTAATACTCAAAAAGAACAAATATATATGTATATATTAATTTTATTTGAGCATTTTGGACAGACAATGAAAAGAAGGATGAGCAAAGAAAAAAAGGACTGGGGTTGGATGAGGGTCAGGAATGATGGAGGTTAACGGGAGAGGCTACACACACTCCATAGCGACGGGTGTGGCTTTGAGGGAGCTCTCCTGCCAGTTTAGCACAGGAACAGGAATGCAGGTCTCACTGATGGTCTCCTGACAGCGGAAGGACAGGGGGGGTCCGCTATCAAGTAGCAGCTGAGCGTTGCTCTGGACTGTCTCCACTACAGAAGAGGTGGAGGGGCAGGGAGGGCAGAGGTCAGGGTGTGGTTTTAGAAGGGCCAGGTGTGCAGATATAGGGTCAGGAGGCCGAGAGAGGAAGAAAAGGAAAGAGGACAAGGAAGACACAAAAACATATGAAGCAAGAACAACTGAACATGAAACGAGAAAGAGTCAAGCCCTTAGCGGACCCCACTTTTGGGAAAAAAGATAAAAACTTGGCATAAACAGTCACATCACTACTTTATGATATCACAAAATGTTAGTTTTGTAATCATTCATGTTTTACAATCACCTTCTATTGTTATTAAAACTTTACAAGTGCTGAAATTGTTAGTTTCTCAAGGATGACCTGAGGATAATCACTGATTGCTCACTCAATTAAAGCTACCATTGTTGGCACTAGCCTCTTAAAAAAACATGTTTTCTTGCTTGGATCACAATTTAATCTAGACAGAAGAAGAAACAACTAATAACAGTAGCTAGTTTGCTAATAAATGTCTTCTTTAGCGTTACCAATGGTAGGTCAATCTTTAAATAGGGTTAATTGATTGAGGCCCTAAGGGTTACTCTGTTAAAACAAAAAAGTCCAAACAGAAACCAAAGGCAGGACTATGACCACATTCAGATGAATAAATTGCTTCACAGAAAACACTGAAGCACAAACAGTAGAAAAATGTATAATTTTTCTCTGTGGTTGAGCTCGCCACTAAGACAGGTACTGTATAAGTATGGTATGCATCAATGAAAAACAGTGCGGTACATTCCAGTCAGTGTTTGAAGTGTTTGCCAATTTTGAACTTAAAAGAAGAAATTAAAGTGACTTTATAACAGTGAAATTTGCTTTTGTGTCGGTGCTGAATCCAAAAAGCAACACGATAAGTCTAAATTGCATCACTTGATGGCTTCTGAGGTTTTCTTACGCCGCTGCTGCAAAGAACTCACCCAGCAGGGCAGAGTTTCCATCTCCCAGAGGAAATCGTTGATAACGAGGTACACTGAAGGGAGGGAGAAGGTGAAATTTCCGCTCCAGCAGAGGCTCCAAACGGGAGGCAGAGGGATCAGCTGGGTGGAACAAGTTGTAGACCTGCTGGCATGCAGGCCTCAGCTGGGCCACTAGGGGGAGAAATAAAACCAAGAACGTTCCAAGTAAGCACGAGATAGATGGGGATGCTTAGCATTTGCAGCTTCTTTGTACAATTTAAAATCACACAAGGTGCCCAGTTAATAACAACAAGATACAAGTCCAGATAATACGTTTGTGAGAGTTTGAGGCAAACCATTTAGCATTATTTCCCTTCTCAGCAAAGGCAGTGACTGATATTACAGAACATTGGAAAACACTTAATTTCTCTGCATAAAAACACTCACCATCCAACATTGGGATCACGGTCTTCCTCAGAGCCAGTACCAAGCCCAGCGGTGAACCAAAGAGGAAAAAATCTGCCACCTCAAAGTCAAACTTCCCAAGAGAGGATCCATCCAACATTGTGCTGCTGCTCGATCTGCGAGAGGCCGCATCATTCCGCAAGACACTAGAATGCAAGCTGGAAGAAAAATAAAGCAAAACGACCAAGCTTCAACTGAAAGCCTCACGTGAAAGAAAACATATCAACGTAAGATGTTTTATCAATTCATGTGCAACAGACCTGGACAAAAAAGCTTGGTGTTGTTTAATTGTGTCCAGTTCGTAGGTGGAGGAGTCACTTCTCTTGCGCGGCAGCTGTCTCTTGGTCTCATCACCTGTACTGGTGCGAGGAATATCAATGTTACTGCGACTCAGGTGGCGGCTGCCTTCCAACGTTGGGGATGATGATCCTTGTCCGCAGTTTATGATGATGCCGGGAGAGAGGAGGTCCTGGTCCTATCAAGGGCAAATTAGAGAAAAGTGTTACAAAAATTCAAATACTTTTAAATTTGTTAATAAAAAACTGAATGTAGGTGCTTTTAAGGTGAGTGAAACAAGAAACGCTTTGCTTCTAACCTGCACACTGATGACACTGCCCCTTCGACTGCTGTTTTGGCTTTCGTTTACTGTGGGACAGCTGTTGCACAGAGCATCAAACCCTAAAATTCCACCCACACAGTCCCCAATCAGGCATACCTGGAAAAGGCACACGTTATGAATAATGTGCACACAAAATAAAAATAAAAAACAGTGATTTATGAGAACTCGGATTCTGAGGGTTAAACCATTGTTAAAGAATGAAAACTGACCTGGCCGGAGAAGGTGGCACCGTTCAGAGACTTTATAAAGTCAGAGTACACCTGGTTGGCTCGAACAATGACAGTGGCAACAGCATCCTGATACTGCGGAGATGAGGTGGCCAGAAGAGGCAGCGCTGCAAGTGGGATGTGGTCCTGACTGCTAGACAGACAGCTCTCATCATAGCTATAAGGGCTCAGGCTTTAAAAGAAAACAAATGTTGAGAAAATTAATTAAAAGGAAGCTCGGGTAAAACACAGGAAGATGAGACGACCATTTAAGATCATTAAGAAAAGAAAAAAACATTAAGACCGTTAAGAAAACAGTCGCTGCAGCCAACAAACACATGGCCTTAAAACCTGCAGGGAGAAAAAAAAATGTGTGCAAGCATTTTCTCTTACTTGGACACCAGAGAGAAGGCCTCAGCACAGATGGCAGGGCAGGGCACCAAGCGGATGGCGATGCGTCCCAGCGCAGCGGGGTAGTGAACACGCATGACTGTGTCGAAAGCTGTACTAATGGTGTTGACGTCGGCCTGCTTGCTGTTCTGGTCCCCGCCGCCTGTATCTAGGATGTTTCCTCCATGCAGAACCAGGATCAGCACGTGAATCTTGGAAGGCTGCAGACACTGCTGAGACGAGCTCTCCTGAAAAACAGCAGATTATGAAAAGGCTGAAGAGTGGAAACTTGTAGAAAGAGAATATTTAGATAGTATAGTTTAATATTATGACCAAAAGCAGCATTTTTACTTACAAACAATAAAAAAAAAACCTTCTTAGTAATAAAAATCACTTTTAGTGATTTTATAGCTTTTTTTGAAGCTTGAAACACGTTTGTGTCAGGTTTTTTCAGACATGGATCATACAGCAGACTCCTTTTCACAACCATAGAGGGGCAGAGAACCATGCTTCTGGAGGATGTCACATGACACAGAATAATGTGTAGTTTTGTCTTCTGCGCCTGATCCAAAACTTCACATTGTCATAGAACCACCATATGTACACTCAATGCAACGACTGCCAGTACAAGCGAGTTGAACAGAGGGTAGTGAGGTTAAGGGGTACACACGGATTGGGGTTTGGGCAATGGCAACAGAAAGGGGAAAGGGTCAGTCAGTACTGTCCACATGGATCGGCTCTACCTGTGGGCCTCTTCTAGCCCACAGTGAACTGGGGCCGAATGGTTTACTTACTGACTGGTGCCTTGTTACCATGATGGTGGGAATGGGAGAGCTATCGGCTTGGCCGCTAAGAGAGTCACGTATCTGAACACAAGAGGACAGAAAGGCTCAGGGACAGGCAGCCTTTCTTTTAACCTCCAAAGTTAAAAGTTTGTTAATCGCTGTATTTTTACTTGAACTAAATGTAATGAAGATTAGCAAAATCTTTGGGTTTATGGGAATTTTGGCAGTTACTCTTTTTTTCTATCTTAGACATGGAATTGTATCAGCAGAAGCTAATTTATATATACAGTTTATATATACTGTTCGTAGTTGTATAGTTCGTATATATACATATATATACATATATGTAGATATGTGTACATGCATGTATAAATGTGTCATATGTCTAGGAACATTTGCACATTACTTCTTGTATCCGCACAACAATTGCATCTTCTGCTCTAAACACCAAAGTCTATAAAATTCATGTACATTATGTACTCCTACACTGCTGAGGAGAAATGAAACAGAATTTTGTTCAGTTATGCATGGTGCACTGTACAATTTGGAATGACAATAAAGTTTGTAAATTTGAGTTAAAGTTAGTTGGGACTGTTAAAAAAATAAACACATTTGACACACATACATACCTCATCTAGTCTGTCCTCACTTGCTCCTCTTTCATAATCCCCAATCATTTCCTTAAAGGGTTCATCTAAAACAAACAAAAATCACACAAACAGTAACCATTAAGTTACAGGAGTTTATCCACAGTGAAGAGCCTGTGAGCAGTCTTCATCATACCAGGAGTGTCCTCTGTGTCTGCAGCTTCAATCTTGTCCATGAGGTCGTTTGAGTTCCATTTGGCAATTTCTTTTGGAAACACCTCCTCACCATCTGAGAGATCCTCTGCAGAAACAAACAAACAAAAATAAAGGTTAGCCAAATACTTGCAAAGCTGCTGTCAGAGCAACAACGCAATCAACCTATATTGTTGTTTCCCAAGGTTGTAGTTAACTTCTACTCAAACGTTAGAATACACTAAAAACAACAGTGTTTTTAAAAGGCCCTTCCTCTTTTGTGGAACACCAGTTATTTTGGTGGACATTACATTTGTATCAAGATAAGAACTTTTAATGGCAATGCAGAACCCTTGTGTTTTATAAAATCTAACATATAAACCATTAGGTAGACTTTCTATATGCTGGAGTGTGTATATATATATATATATATAAATAAATCAAGACATTATACTATTTGTGCATGGATTAAGTCCTTTTATAATGATTTATAATTTCAAAATTTAAATAAAAATTTTATACATATTATTTTAATGTTATCTAACTCCTACTTAGATCTGAGTTAGCAAGTCAACATATTATCTAAATTGTGGGGGTTTTTTATGTTCATGATTTGTGCGGTTTAAAAAATGCACAAACATTGAAAATCAAATGGAATTATTTTAATTTCATAATAAAGTCCTACAGTCATTTTAAGAAGGGTCTATCTGAAAACAGCATTTTGCTACTTTCTCCTAAGAGACAATATACCATAAAAATGAGTTTGACATAAAGCAACATTTTGCTTTTCAAGTTCTTTTTATGGTGTTTTATGTTTGTGATTTATTTATATATGAGCTCAAGCTTTAAGGGTAAAGAAATATCTTTACACATCATTAGGCTTAGCTTTGTTCAAGAAAAGAAAAACATTTTGCTCCCAAAATGTGAAGATAAAAACCTTCTAATAAACATATAACAGAAATTTAAGTCACAGAAGGTGTTATCTCTTTATAACGTCTTCAGCTTTTGCTTTTACTTGTACAAATGTGAAGACCATGTTTATTAAAGCTAAATGCATAGTTGTGTTTTATAACTGTTGACTGATTGTTGCAGATCAAATAACAGCATAATATGTCACTGATACAGAAGATTGTGTTGCCAATTTAAGACGGAAGTTAATCAGTTTTCTGATCAAATGTGAGTTGATTTCACTTCAGACATTAGAAACAAAATAATTAATCATAAACACAAATACTGGAACACATAAGTGCATGGATGTCAGGACAATTCATTGTTGTAAATCCATTCCAACGACTCGCACGTAGAAACATTAAAGTTGGAATAAGAAGAGATTAATGACTGCAGCAAAGTCAGTGTCATTGTAATAAATGATGCAACATGTTCAGCTTTATTCACGTTTCATCATCATGATTTAATGGTTTGTCACAGTATCACCACACAAACACTGGTTTGAAGAGGGCCGTTTATTTCCCTGACATCTGATGATTAGGAACTGTGTGTTTGTGTGTGTTCATGTTGTGAGAGCTAAGTGTTTTGTAGAGTTATGGACTTGTGGTTTTTGGATGTGTGGATTGTGATTTCTGAACTTGACATAAGCTGGCCTGTGTCCTCAGCCAGCTCATCTCTCGGTGGAGCATATTGTTGCGCCGATTTCAACTGCAGCCCCAAAGCATGCTGGGTATCTGGTAAGCTTAACAACTGATCTGTGGTTAGAGAGATGCATGCAGCGTAATTGAAAGAGGAAGCAGGCAGATTCAAAGAAAACCCAACGTGAAAAACACTTTTAGCAAAACGAACTTTTGACTTAAAATGTGAGCGGCGCTCACCGTGAGCGTCGAAGAACTCCTCGTCCGAGCTGTCTTCGGAGTCTCGCGCTATGCTCTGCATCCTCCACTCCGAGATGCTGTGACGTGACGGGCTCACTGCAAAACACACATTCACTGTCATTTGTTAACACTCAGTTATGCCCGTCTTTTTTTAAACACACAATAACACTTTAACAAAAAAAAAATTCCACAATCCTGCACCTCCTCCTCTCACGCACAAAGCCAGTGTTATATAAACATGCAACAGTCTCTGTGGTGGTGCTTTACTTCATCACAGATGGACCGCTTGGTGGTCTGGGGTGGTTTGTGTGAAAAGTGAGGCCCAATGTAACACAAACAAGCTGACAGCACACCCCGAATGCCAGTTGAGGAGAATGGAAATGCTAAAAGCTGGTCGTGTCTATCACATTTCTTCAGCTGGCACCTCGTGTATCATTAGTGCAGCAGAGGAGGGTGGGGCAGGCTGGGGAGAGGAAAAAGGGTGTGGGCACAGCTGTAGCTGTCAGGGTACACAAGGAAACGGCAGCGGTGGAGGGGAGGGTCACTTGAGGAGCGTCAGCCTCCTCGGGTGCGTGATGTCAGCACTGCTGCTAAAAATAGCTCGGCAGAGAACCGGGGGGGGGGGGGGGGGGGTAACGGGATGAAACAAGGCATGCTGAATAAGGTTGGGGTTCACATGGCAACGACAGTTTTACCTAAAGAAAAGATCGTACATGAGTGTGAATGGATGGTGAAAATAATCCAGGTGTGGAGGAGTGAGACTGCTGGAGTTGGACGGTGAAGTAAAAACAGCGCAAGGGATGACAAAGAAAAAAACGGAAAACCAAAATGTCTTTTCTGACGTGTGTGACTTTAACAAAACCTTTTAAGCTGAGGGGTGACTTTATGCGTGTACACGTGCAGTTGAAGGAACAATGCATTTAATACAATTTCTGCACAGCCTAAATTATGACTAAATTACCGTATTTCAAGCTTATTAAAAAACTAACATAACAATCCCCTTTAACAAAAGGCAAGACCAAACAAATAAAACTCCAGTGAGGTGTAACTTAGAAAAGCTGGACCCAACCATTGTGTTATTTGGATACACATTTATTTTGTGGGTGCACAGCCTTTTTATTTAGGATAAATATGGATTGGTGCAGCGTCTACAGTATTGCGGACTCTGTACTGGTCCGTTGTGGTGAAGAGAGAGTTGAGCTGTAAGACAAAGCTCTCCGTTTACCAGTCGGTCTACGTTCCTACCCTCACCTATGGTCACGAGCTCTGGGTAGTGACCGAAAGAATGAGATCATGGATACAGGCGGTTAAAATGAGTTTCCTCCGCAGGGTAGCTGGACTCTCCCTTAGAAACAGGGTGAGTCCGGGAGAGACTCGGAGTAGAACCGCTACTCCTCCACATCGAGGGGAGCCAGTTGAGGTGGTTCGGGCATCTGGTAAGGATGCTCCCTGGGCGCCTCCCTAGAGAGATGCTTCAGGCATGTCTGACTGGGAGGAGACCCCAGGGAAGACCTAGGACTCTCTGGAGAGACTATGTCTCTCTGTTGGCCTGGGAACATCTTGGAGTCCTCCCAGAAGAGCTGGAAGAGGTGGCTGTGGAACCATATCTGGGCCTCCCTGCTCAAGCTGCAGCCCCCGAGACCCGACTTTGGAAAAAGCAGAACATAATGGATGGATGGATATTTTCTAAATGTTTAAAAATAATAATCCTTGATAATCTGACATTCTACACAGCATGAGGCTCAGACTTCAGTTCACATCACTGTTTCCACTTTAGTGATTTTGTTGTCAAATTAAAACATTCAGACCCTTCTATTGCCTTTCAGTTCACAAGACAACATACAGACAAATCAAGAGATGTTCAGGAGAATTTCTCACTGGTGCTACCAAACTAAAAAAAAAAAAGAAGAAAGATTTTGCTCCCTTCCACTGCAGATACACAATTTTGTGCTTCAAGTTATTCAGTTGGAGTCATAAAGAAAGCAGTATAGTTACTGTAATTTGTCATCCAGGCAATCCTGAGCAGTGTATGTGACAGGAAAGATATAGGCATTCTAGTGCTTCTTAAATTTTGTATGTGTTCATGTGCAGATAAATCTGAAATTACATAACAGACATGCTTTAAGTAATGCAGTGGTTTGCCCGAAAATGGTAATCAGAGCAGCCTTAGAAGCTGTAGATGGAATTGTTTAAGAAAATCAAACATAGTTGCTAATTTTCAGGAGAAGACTAATAAAAAGAAAACACGATAACCATGCAGTCCCACAAAGAATATATACACAGAGAACGACACAATTGAAGATGATCGTCACCTCCTCTTTTAGATGACCGAGAGGATCGAGATGAGGTGGACCACTGCTTGGTGAGTACACCACGTGGTTGAAGAGTTTCTACTCCTGATCTAGCGACCACTTCCTCGGCTTCAATCGAGCTGATGGCCTCTTTAACCTCCTGGTCTTTGTCCAGAGAAGGAGCGCTGCCGTTGGCTTCGGTGGCCTCATCTGCCTGGGAAAACAGGGCCATCTTCCTGGCCAAGGCCAGCTGGGTTTCCAGCTCTAGTTGTCTGATGTCCTCGATGGTCAGACCATACCACTCATCCTGCCAACACCAGGCCTGCCGGTGGGCACGCACCATTACCTTTCTGAGTCCTGGAGGTGAACACAGAAAGGACACTTGCATGAGAAGCTGATAAATCATCACATTAAGGTCCAAGACTTTCAAATCTTTGATGAGATACAAAAACAATCTACCCACCGACATCATGAATGAAGCGTTCAATCTTGGACTGCATGCCCCAGTAACGGAATTCCACCTTGCAAAGTTTGTAGGCACACATGATGGGAGTCTTTCCTGGGTTGTTATTGTACTCCTCTATCCAGTCGTCTCGCAGGGGACCCCTCTGGGTCTTGACTGACTTGTAAAGTCTTGGGTCTTCCTCTGCCTTGTACTCATGTGGGGGGATGGGGTCTGCCACTATGTCGATTGGGTCTGTTAGAGACAACCAGGTTTCAGACAAGATGAATCAGCTGCTTGAAAATTATTGTAAAATGTTCCAAGATGAGTTTTAAACTCCCATATTAATGCTTATAAAAAAAGGTGGAGGAGAACTTGTACAGGCTTGTGTTGAATGGTTTTACATTCCTTTTATAAATGACTTTCTGTCAAACTGTCAGATGCACAAGAAGAACTAACGGTAACTAAATTACTTACGGTAATTAGTAAAGCAATATTCAATGGAAAAATGTGGCTTCAACCACTAAATAAATAAATAAATTTGAATAGGTATCACTAATCTGGGCCTCCATCACTGCTTATGCCTAACTAACAGTAAGACCGGTGTCAGAATGTAACAAATGTTATTTATACAAAAGTGACATCTTAAAAAACTAATGCAAACATAATCATTCACTAGGTACTATGTCCTTGTTGACGTGAAAGTGACATGACTTGAGTATTACCTCAACATTACAATTCAAGACATAATGGCTGGACAGATGAAGAGTCTCACCAATTGTCCTTTGTCGCTTGTCTGCTGCAGACAGGTTAAAGACGTCTGCTTGATTGCCTGTGTCGGGTTTGTAGTAGGTCTCGATGTCAATGGAGAACTTCTCAACGAAGGGACAGGTATATCTGCAGGAACAACACAAAATACAGTCACGTATCCAAACAAACTGTAACTTCATTCACAGAGTAACTCTCCAAGTGAACGGCTCGAGACAAGTGACACCTTCTTGGTGTTGAAGATGGAAGATACAGGAACAAAGCAAATCTGCTGCCTCTGCAGTAAAAGTGTCACATGTCAACAAGCACTTTGACTCTGTCAGTGTCCTGACAGTACAGTTAAGAAGACTTTTTTATTTCAGCATCTTCACGTCTGGTTTTATCAGTAACCCTCTAAACAGACGCCCTTGCAATGAGGGGTCATCAGCGTCCAGCAATCAAGCCAATCTCCTGTCCTTTTGGATATAATTCTGACAATTTACCATGAAGTCTTTATTCTCTTTTGGCTTTTACGAAACAGCTGGACCTCAGCTTTTGTATCAAATTAATCTTTTGTGGCATCTCTGTGTGATGCAAAACAGTGTTGAATGATTATCTGCTCAGCAAGATGGCAGGTCTTTTCAAGCTTTTAATACAGAGCTGGAAACAAAAACAACTCATGCACATAGCTACATTGCTAAACTCTTGTTTTGTGCAGCTTTTGGGAGTCAGTTTTGAAGTAGCTTTCATGCAAGAGCAAATACCTGGTTCGGGTATAAGGGTAGGCATTCCAGGACTCCTCTTCAACCCTCAGTGCTGCTTTGGGCAGGATGGAGCGGAACCAGCTGGGAATGTGCATGCCAATGTGGTAGACCTTATGAGTGTACTGACCCGTTCCACCTGGTCCATCTGTGTAAGGCTTATTCTCAAGGATCTCCACACCGCTACCTTCTCCGCAACTCTCTTCTCTGCTCTTTTTCTGTAAAAATAATACAACTGAAGTCAGTTCAAGTTATTTTTTATGCCCACACTTTAGTAGTTGTGCTGCATGAATGTCAAATTTAATCGTGTGTATTCTAATTTTTATTTGACCCAAAACAAATATTTGAGAAGAAGCAAATGAAAGGGTATGGTGCAGTGGTGTATTACTTCATCACAAATCTGAGTCAGATGTTAAAGTGACAAGGCTGACAACAAGACAACACACACAGTAAAATTAATAGCTTCCTGAAAGCTTTGCCAGTTCTGAATTGCAAATAATGAGGAAGCCCAAAAACAAGATTATGGCACCACGCCTTTCTCATATTTACATTGTAGATGCACAAAAGACGAGAGGCTGGGTGGAGTCTGCAGATGCAGGCCCAAAGAATTATAACTAGGAGAGTCAACGTTTAAGACAAGAACGTGGGACGTGGCAAAAGGATGGGCCTTGTTGTAAAAATCAGTGACACGGTAAATACTGTAGCTGAGCATAGTCCAGGTGCTGATCATACATAAAATACACTAGCACATGAACCACACAGGCCAAAGGTCTCTCCTGTATTCTTTACTCCAGTTACCATATCAGCAGTTCAGTTTTGTAACGTGCAGAATTCAGCCCATCACCATGAAAAACACAGAGACAGATTTCTCCAGTAAGCCAGTGAATCAGTGGAGTTGCGAGGAGGAAGTCATGAGGCATCCAGCGTTCTGGACCTCATTACCTCTGACAGGTCATTCATTAGCCACCCGCCCTGCTCTCAACAACTCAGAAACGGCTCCAAAGACACAGCACAGACACGGCAGCACGGTCAAACTGGACAAACACCCCGTCACTACAAGAGACAGGCTTTTAACAAGCAAACAGGCTGGATCTGAGGTAAATGTTGTGGTTACTAAGTACTACAGTATATTCACACAACTATAAATGCAATATTTATAGGTCCACATGTAAAGAGTTTATTAGAAGGAAACACTAATAAAAAAAAATACTAAATCATCATCCAACTACTGAATTATACAATTAATATCATTCCTGACTGGTGAATGCAGTTTATTACATGCAGATGGGGATTTTTAGTTAATCTGGAAAACGATTACTAAACATTTACCTCTTCTCTTAAGGGTTAAGATGACCAGCTTAAAATGTTAAATGTTCAAAGCAACTTTAGCCTTATAACTATTTAATATAGAGTGATTACTTCAAGGGTATCGAAAATTTAACTCTACCTCTGCACAAAATAAAAGCTAGCATTGAGAATTGACTACCTCCAAGATAAAGCTCTTGTCTATTTTTTATTAAAAGTCTAAAGTTCACAACACAAATTAGGAGCTTGTGATGTGTGTTTAAGTCCAGCTGCCCGTTCTCAAACAGCCTTCATATGGTCACCATCACGACCGTCTGTATAGGTTTAGATGATAAGACCTCACGGCTCCGACAGGATGGGAGTCACATCCTGTTATTTTTTCTTTTATCATAAACTTTGCAAGCCATGTTTCCTGCTAGGGATGTTGCTTTTTATATAGCTCAGTGGATATACGGAGGTTATGATGTCAACGTGTGAAAGGTTCTGTGCAAAGAGCTCGAACACAGTGAAAACTTCCTGCCTTTTTTGCACATTACTGCAAATCCCTACATGCTTGTTAAAAAAAAAGGAACAATTTGATGGTGGCACAAGGGCAGAGGAAGCGTTGAAGAGATGAAGTGGTGCCTGGTGAGGTGCAGACATGGCCAAGATGTTCTTAAAGCCCTGGTCTCATCTGTGAGGTCTACAGTACACTGGTGATGGCTCGGCGTCAGGCAGGCCTACATGTGGCCGTTTCCCTGGTAACATAAAGCAATGAAGAGCAGGCAAGAACACTTTTTCCTTCCACCCCCTCGTTTATTTCTTCCCATCCTTTCCTCGCAGCCTGTCTTTTTATCCTCCATTTCCTCTTTTCACTCACTCTCATGAACAAAACCTGACCACTGGCATGCTGCTGATGTCATGGTTGCCATAGCGACGGAAGCCTTAACAACCTGTAACGAGGCTGTGCAGAGATGTTGAGGTCAGTGAAAAGGTAACTGTGGGTCAATAATGCCAGAGTTTCTCACGTGGTTAGTTTACATGCCTGCAGGTGGATACGTGAATTGCTTTTTCATAGACAAACAAATCTCCTTTTATGTTTTTCATGTTGCTTTGCACATTATCTTGCCTGTGCCCTGTGTCTGGGAATAAAATAGGTCTAAAATAAATGTAGCTTCAGGTTTGATGAAGTTTGTATTTTTACAGCCACTTCAAAAAATAAATAAATAAAAATGCTGTAAAAAATGCATACAAGTGTGGCTAGCTTGTGCTTTCCTGAAACATTTCTGCAAAAGTTATATAATTCCCTCAGATTATTTTTATTCCCGTCTCAAACATGTTTAAAGTTAAGAAATCCTAAGTAAAACAGGACTAAACATTACTTTGGGTTGACTGTAGCAGGAAGAAAATGTGAACACAAAGCTTCCGAGACTGCACTCAACACTGCAACACAACTTTCTCCTACATGTTGAGTCAGCCTTTTTCTGACTGAACTCTTTGAACTGTCAATGACAGACCTGTAATCTGCCCTTCATAAAGGGTATACCATATTTTCTGCCGTACAAGTCACATCAGTCCAAATATGTCTAATAAAGTGGAAAAATCCATAAATACGTCGCTTTGGCGTATAAGTTGCAGGGCATGCAAATTATGCAAAAGACCCCGACTTATAGGGCGAAAAATACAGTAAAAGTGCACAACAAATCTAACCAATAACAAGTACAAAATAAAAAATAAAAAATAAAATCTCAGCCCGAGTCACTGTGATATCTTGGCTTGGCATAACTCTGCTCAGTGCTTTCCTGCTCACTTTGTTAAATAAATCCTTCTTCATTTGCACATGCCACATGAAAAGAAAACGTGTTTCCCCGCCGTACAACAAAGACTGTATGACCTAACACTTCTTACTCGTACCTTTAAACTTGAAAGCTCTTACTCAAAGATTGAAATAAAACAGTTTGACAGAAAAGCGTCCATCAGCACAGTTTCGGACAGCATGTTTACACCACCCTCCGGCAAAAAAAAAAAATCATGCAATCTGAGGCAGATGAAACAAAACCAGATTAAATGGATAATCTATTAGCATAAAAGCTCTTTGTCCATTTGCTGCATCTGCATCACACAACTTGTGACTGATTACAATTTTACGTACGTGTGTGCTGTAACAGCACCCAGTAATTTTTTCCCCCTCTTTCTATCTTTAGTTTATATTTTTTTTCTGATTTCTTGATTTGCTCACTTTTGGCTGTGTGAGAGAGTAGGTGAGACGTAGGTGGGATGTGATGGGTTGTTACCTCACCTGGATCATATAGAGCTGGGCGATGCGATACTCCTCCACACTCATGGGCATGGGGATGCGGTACTCCTTAATGAGCATGATGAATCTTGGCGAAGGGGAGGGGGGAAAGGGGGAACTGGGGAGAAGATTGACAAGGAAATGGGGGAGGGAGGGGCAAAAGGGGAGGGATGGGGAGAGGGGAGAGGAAAGAGTCTGGGTGCTCCTATGTGCGACTCGTAAAATCACCAGCTGAAATCCGCATCGATCGTTCCTGCAGAGGAGAGAAAAAATGAGAAGGACATAAATGTCATTCGTTAGTATTTTTAGATTCAATAAAAGCTGTTAAAGGTGAAGATGCACATCCAGAAACAACTTAAAAACCTTTCAATCACGCAAAAGCAGAAACTAGAAAAAATCATCCATCATGTCAAAACACAGACAAAACAACAAAAGCTGCAAAAATTCTCAAAAATAAAAGAAATTATGAGAAAAAGTTCCAGGGCTCACACACAAATCAAGAGGAGGAAACAGGACAAGTAAAGTCTGTCGGACCCAGGCACCTGAGGCATCACACCGCCAAGTTAGGTGGTAACCTGATTAAAAGTCCCTTCTTATACAGAGGCCATAGTACAGTCTTCCCTGATCTTCTGGCACATCACATTGGAGGTGGTGGTGGGGGTGGGGGGGGGTCTCACTCAGCATAAGACGGATTACAGCAGAGTGGGAACTTTTACATAACTCTGTAAAATAAGAGCCCCCGCCTGCACAATCGAGGTTTCACAAATAGCTGCGTTGGAGTTACGCAAAGCTTCGTTTTCAAGCTACTGGGCAGAAATGGGGTAGGTGTGGGTAAACCTACACAATGTGTGGGTGGTGTGAGATGCAGGAGTCATCTTTGACCACACTGGGAAGAACAGTTATCCAAAAATACCAAAATGAAAAGAAGAAAACTTTTTATTTAAGCAAAGAGTTCATGTAAGCAAACTAATGTTAACAGGATAAGGAATTTTAATAAAAGGCGCCATAAGCATCAGGAGAAAAAAGGAATCAGGGAAAAGACAAAGAGGAGATATATGGATGCAGTTAGAGCGGACATGGAGGTAGTTGGAGTGAGGACAGAAGATGCAGAGGACAGAGATGGAGGAGGATGACTCGCTGTGGCGACCCCTGAAGAGGGAAAAGCTGAAAGAAGAAGAAGACATCAGGAGATATTTTTGTTGTTGTTGTCATCAATAGTCACACAAAGACGTATTCTGGAGAAAATCAGTTGCTCGAGTCAATAAAGGTGAAGCAATTAAAGCAAAACTGAAATCAATCCCGAGCATCTTTTTATGAATGTTCACTCTAAAGATGTGTCTAAAAGCTCTGCAGTTAAAGAGCAAAACCCAAAAGGTCTGGTCTGTGAGATGTGGTAAACACACACACACACCGAAACAGACCTCATTCACTTGTGCATGGAATATTGTAAAGGGAATATGTCTAATAAATCCTATAGTTGGACATCAACATGTGACAACGCAGTACAGTATTGCAAAACCACAATATGAACAGTATCCTGACCCATGGCGTAGCTCTTGAGCCCAGGGTCTAATCACACTAATGGTTACATCAGGAGCTCACTAGAACAGGTCTTTGTTTGCAGGGTAAATGACGCAGTCCTAGTCCACCTATTGGTTAATAGCTCTTGTAAACCTCCCACTGAGTACAGTTTGGTCTTATAATCCCATCGCTGCGATAAAGATGGTTTTATAATCCCGTCGCTGCGATAAAGATGCACAGCCTGTTCGACTTCTTAACCTGGAGATGCACTTACTAACACAATGGGAGGTGATCTGTTCAAGAGTGTTAACATTTTGTTGTCTACATTATTCATGTATTCACCCTTGGTTTACGCAAAGGAACAATGCACTAGAAAATCGGAGCAGAACAAGGCATTTTGCTGAAAATAACTGCACTCTTGGGAAAGGCCGAGATAAAACTAGGCTAGTTGTGGAGGCCTCGAGAAAAGTCCTTGGCTTGAGAAATCAGGAGGTCTCAAGGAATTAGAGCTGAGATATAGAGAGGAAGGCCATGCTGCTTCTTCTTCTTGCTAAAAAAACATGACTCTTAACTAGAAGAATTTCTCCAAAATGTAGCGGGGGTTTCAACCAACTTTAGAACGTTTCTAAAACGTGTCCTCTTTGTCAGAAATGTATGTGCAAGCACCATCTGTCATCCTTTAACTGTCACACCTGCAGGAAAGTGATCGCTGCATAATTCTTATTCCACCCACCGACCATCACCCTTCTAAAAGAAAAGGACGCCAGGTATGAAACAGGAGAGGTAACGAGCAGTCAGGAAAAAGCAACAGGAACGTGTTCTCAGTCAGTCGCAGCCATGTTCTGTGTCTGCAGCCTGTGTTCTGATTCTGCACAAACATTTGTACCAATACTGATATATTACATTCACAACATAATTTTTATTGTTTTTTTTGAGCTGCAGAAATACAAAAAACAAATCTGAAATTATTGTGAGTGTTGGGATCGAGGTCGTACCCAGGGTGAAGGACCAGAGAACTGAAC